GACTATAGATAGATTGTGACTATATAGGATAGATTTTAATAATAAAGTGTTTTGAACATTCAACTGGTGTGACTATATAGTAGAATGTGACTATAACGGGAGTGACTATAGAGGGAGTTGACTGTATATATAACTTTTACCAGAATTTAATAGCCAAGTTTTATGGTTCACTGGCAGATCACGAATTAACTTTTTCAGATTTATATAAATCAATCTATTTAGAAGAGCTGATAGAATTGATAAATTTTAGTTTTTAATTTTTACTAATTTAAGTTGATCAATAAAGAGATCATCAAAATTAAAAATATTAGATTATTTAGAAATATGCAATTGGTTGGACTGGTATATTTATTATAAATGTCAGAAAAACTCTGCCTCTTTATGCTTACAAATTTCAATTCTAGAACATACTAACTCTTTATAGTCTCAGCATTTTGTATTTATACAATTATAAGTTAATGTTATATTCATTAGTAGATGAAGTTTAAAACTTTTCTAAACTGTATAAATAGATTAAATATGCCATTTTGCTAATAGGTAAAGAAACCCTATAGGGATCATAGAGGAATCTGACTTTTTACATTACTTTTTTGTTTTTGATGTTTTTATAATAATAATATGATTCATATTGGAATTAATTTTGTAGTTTATTAAACTTAGATTACAGAATCTGAAAAGGCTGAGATAAAGTTTATTTTAAATGAATTGTATCCATATAATTTTATAACTGCCCAACTGTAGTAGATAGTTTAGGTAGCTCACTCATGTATGTTCTGTACTTCAATATACTGATATTCGATATACTGATATACTATTAAAAACTTGATATACCAATAAAATTTTATTTTTCTGCTATATGTGAGGACATATAAATATTGGTATAACTTTGATATAATNTTGATATACCAATAAAATTTTATTTTTCTGCTATATGTGAGGACATATAAATATTGGTATAACTTTGATATAATGATATTTTCTAAAAATTTTATATATGTCCTGACATATCATTATATAAAGGTTTGACTGTATTTGTAATAGCTTAACTTGTTCTTAATAAATGCGTAATGGATAAAAAAAAAATTCTGAAAAATGGTTTTTTTATTAATTACAAATTAAGTAATATTTGTAATAGACATATATATAGAAGATACAAAAGTATTGGATTTGACCTCCTGGTAAAATATATTATGTGGGTCAAGTTAGCACCGCGTGGTGGGTCAAGAACATAGGGGATGTCTAAAGCCGTGTTCGATCACGTGAAATACACGTACCTTGATTGGTCACTATAAATAGCCAAACGACCCCATATATAGTTAAAGAATTATTCTCATAATTTGCCGTATTGCATGTGATTTTCATTACATAATAAACCACTTAGCGTCACTGGTAACAAAAATCGTAATTAACATATTGCTTACTCTCTAACAATCTTATCATAATCCTAATTCTGGAGGTAATATTAGGTAAGTTTATTCCAATCATTACATAGTATCGAAATATTCATAAAAAAATTCATCCAATTAATCTTGTTTAAGAAATTTATAAAAAAGTGTTTTTTTTTATTTTTAAAAAAGCAAAAGTTATAACTGCAGTTCTGTTAATTCTAATATTCCTTAAATGGTTTTGATATATTGTTTTCATAAAAAAATTTCGGTGGCTGAATCTACAATTCTACATGCGCACCTGATGTTGTCGTCATTAATTATGCTATAAATATAAAGTATCATTAAACTCTATTCAAAAGTATTTTCAAGACCAAAGCAGCTTAAATCGTTCGAAATATCGTTTCGGATAAATAATTTCTTAATATATATCGAAAATTTAGTTTAGTTTACTATAACACACTTGCTTTTTTTTCTTCACATGCTTTTTGTAGTATGTCAACAATAATCATGTCAGCAACAAACACTAGACCTACAAGAACGTCCCGCCGAAAACGGCCACCAAACCCAAATTGGCGTGAAGATTTTTATCGCAATGGAAGACCGGATGAACAGGAAGTAATAGTTATTTCGGATTCTCCTACACCACCTCCTGTGCACATCCGAAAACCACCTTCGCAAATTGAGACGAGGGGTATGAAACGTGGAAGGCGTTCTCCACCACAGTTATCTGACACTCAACAGCTACAGTCTTCACAGGTGTCACTTCAATCAATTTCAGCTGTTCCAACGCATAAAAGGCGACGGAAGCCTGGAATTCAGACAGCTCAAATTCACCAACAATATAATGATACGTCCTATCGTTCTTACATTTCAACGAGTTCACATACTTCTGCACATTATCGAGAGCCAATTTCGGCGAGAGAGGTAGGTAAAAACTTATTGAAGTCGAGAGCATACTTAAACTTGTATCATTGATATTGAAAGATTCATCCTTTATACTTTTGACTAAATTCTTATTTCTTTATAGTCTTATTCATCCGCATCTTCATCACGTCAAGCAATAATACCCAGTCATGATGATAAAGATGGGCATTACATTGTAAAGATTGGCGATGATTTGACTTCAAGATGTAAATTCGTTGTCACCTTTTTTTTTTTAACTTCACATTAGACATATAATGTCAATCCAAAGAAAAAAGAAATATAGTTGACTTTTTTAATGGGAAAATCATTTGATTTTAACATAATTTTACAGACAGAATTACTCGCCAGCTGGGTCAGGGTACTTTCGGAAAAGTTGTACAATGTTTCGATCGTGTTTCAAATCGACACGTTGCGATTAAAATTATTCGTGCGGTACAAAAGTATCGTGATGCAAGTAAAATCGAGATAAGAGTTTTAAACACTTTAAGAGATCAAGACCCTTCAAATCTTTAGTAAGTTATTTTTTAATATAATAATATCCTATATTTAAAATTTGAAGAAATAAATTCTAATATAATTTAATTCTAGCAAATGCATCCATCTTCGAGATTGGTTCGATTTCCGCAACCATATTTGTATGGTTTTCGATTTATATGGTTGTTCATTATTTGACTTCTTAAAGCAAAATGATTTTGCGCCTTTTCCGATGAATCAAATTCAACATATAGCGAAGCAATTGTTAAATTCTGTGGCTTGTGTGTAGTTCTCCAAAATATTTAGTCCGATAATTCATTTTTTTCCTAGCTAAAATTTTTATTTAATTATGTAGTTTTACACTCATTGCGTTTAGTACATACGGATTTGAAACCGGAGAATATTCTATTAGTAAATGATCAATGTAAAACTATACCTTCGAAGGTAAGCTTGCACTTTTATTTCTTGACAAATTACAAATTAGATTAATTATATTTAATTATCGATATAGCGTTCAAAACGTATGTTATTGGACACAGATGTAAGATTAATCGACTTTGGTAGTGCAACATTTGACGATGAATATCATTCATCTGTCGTTTCGACTCGACATTACCGAGCACCAGAAGTTATATTAGGTAAATGTCGAATTTTCTAAAAAACCGAAATAAATTCAAGATTTAGATTTATGGTTCACAATTTATATAGGATTAGGGTGGTCATATTCTTGTGATCTCTGGTCTGTTGGTTGTATTCTTGTTGAGCTGTTCACGGGAGAAGCCCTGTTTCAAACTCACGAAAATTTAGAACATTTGGCAATGATGGAACATGTTCTTGGTAAAATTCCAGATAGGCTTGTTCGACAAATGAGGTACGTAAATTCTTATCTCGCCAATACATTCGTTCTTTTTTCTGACATATTTTTTCTCGTAATTAGCCGACATCATCAGTCAAAGTATTTTAGGGGAAGTAGATTACTTAATTTTCCTAACGACGATACAACAAAACAGAGCCGCAAATATGTCAAGTCGTTACGTAGTTTGAATGTAAGTGAATTTGTTATCTTTAAATTTTAAGTATCTTAATTAATTACACTGTTTTGTAGGAAATTATCGAGCCTGAAAAATCAACTTTTAAAAACCAATTTTATGATCTTTTGCGGCAATTGTTGTTATATGATCCAACTGAAAGAATTTCAGCGCGTACTGCGCTTAGACACCCTTTTTTTTACATGTTCTTTGATGAGGAGGGTAGACATATTCGCTAAGGGGATATCTATAAATTAAATATATTGGCAAGAAATAATTTTCTTTCCTATTCTGTATATATAGATTTGCTGGGATTTAATTGTGAACATTTTTTATTTTATTTGCTTGTAGCCAAATCATAACTCGATTTGATTCAAATCGTTTTGTTTATTTGTATTCATTTGATTTTTTTAATACATGTGTTTTTTATGCATGTATTTTTTTTTTTATTTGAGATTATATATTTTTCTTTTGTTATCGATAATATGTTGCTTCAATTCAGCATTTTTAATAGCTTGTTGGAGCATACAAGCAAAAAAAATTTATCTCTATATCAATTTATGTTGATCAGTCTACACGTTTTCTTTAGATTTACGATATTCAGAAGTCAATGAAAATCGATTACCACGAACAAAAAAAAAAATATGGGAGAATTTGGATCTAAAACATGGGTAAGCTTTAAATCTGGTGAAATATTATGATATATACTTAAAGTAAAGCTGGGTTTGGATAATTTAGATATAATTTTATTTAACTTAGTTAACAAAATCTTTGAATATGTGCTCGGTTCAAATTTCTTTTCCGTTAAGTTGGTATTTAAATACTCAACTTGAGGTTCCGCATTCAAACAATATATTGAATTGAATTCAGGAATTTCATCTAACCTAGACGAGTGCTTGAAAATCGAGCGCATATTTAATTCAAATTTCATTTGACATATGGACTTATAAATCCTATTACATAATTTGTAGGTATATGTTTGAATGGTGAACTTATCCAAGTAATTTTGGTAATTAATGTTTTGTAGTACAAGCAACTACTAGTATAAATATTGTATTATTTATAAAAGGTATAGAAGTTTCATTAAAATTTTTTTTTTTTATGTATAAATTTCCGTAAATGTTGTAATTATTTAAAAATAGTAGCCAGTAATTGAATATTAAATGAATCATATCATCATTTCTAAGCCACAAAGAACAAAAAAAATCATCAAAGCCTCTGAGCTAAGCCGCTACAACTCTTTTCAATTACATTTAAATTCATTAAAGTTAATCAATTCATTAATATGTGAACATTTTTCTTACTTTGAAACCCATTCTTTATCAAAAAGTAAACACTAAACAAGTATTGAACGTGGATTCTAACCATTTCAAATTCCCAGAATTTTGAAATTAGTTAGTCGTTTAGGTATTAAATATTTATTTTTTTTTTTTAACTAATCGAAATTTGTTCAAAATTTTTTATAAGCTATCAAACTGTCTTCAATTTCTCAAAGCCTCGAGGGAGGCATGGTGCCACCAAGTCAAACAATTAACGCGTGGATTGAAACTAATCTCTTTCAAGACTTTGCCACCATGCCGACGGGTCAAGGAAACAACTCGTCTACAAAACAAGTCATTGGTGGCAAAACAGAAATAAAAGTAAAGAGACGGATAACTAGGTCAATGTCTCAATCACTTGATGCTGCCGACACACAAAAGTCTATCGAAGAAACTTTGTATCAAGTAATTGATGATAATACTACTATTGGTGCAAAGATAAAAAATTATAAAAAGGATAATTTTGATACAACAGTTGAAAACAATTCAGAACAATTGGATGATTTAGAAGAACAAACAGCTGCTGCACAGGTCTTACAATTATTGGGACTTGCTAATGTTCCTGAAGATTCCTCTCCAAGGTCTTCAGAAAACGGGAATGAAAATTCAGATTCTCGATCAGGTTTAGATATAGTAGGGAGCCTTGTTGAAGCCGTATTATCCCAACAAAATTCAGTAACAGCTAATATGACAGAGACTAATATTACTTGTTTCAGTTTTCCTGAGTGGACATCCGAGGAGGATGAATTGTTAAAAACTGGTGTTAAAAATTTTGGATATGGCAAGTGGGAAGAAATAGCTTCTATGATTTCTGGACGCACAAAGAATCAATGTAAAGAACGTTGGGACATTATTTCATCACTTAATAGTGATGAATCAAACTCTTTACAAGATGAAGAAATAGAAGAGGAAACATTGTTAGATCATACATATTTTGGTACTGATTGGGGAGAAATTCAAAAGATAACAGATTCGCAACTTAATGCGGATTCGTCAACATCTACAGATGCAACTGTGAACATTTCAATTGATTGGAATAGTGTTGTAAATCCCCCCATTATTCCTGTTACAATTCAAAACCAAAACGAGGATAATGATATAAAGGAAGTATCTTCACCAATACAGTCACCAAATCTTAAATATTCGAGTCAGGATATAAATGGACCTCAGCAAGTCGAAAATTCATTGAATGAAACAACAGGATTATCGACAGATTTGCCTGCAGATTTGCTAATGACAGCAATGACTGAAAATCCTGAATTTTTCTATCCAGCGACGACAAATGATTATTCTAATGTTCCTTATTCAGCGGAACCAGAAACTTTTCTTATCTCCGACGAAAACGCAAATATACCATCACAACCCAGACATAATGAAAAATTAAATGAAACAAAAAACTCACGTTCATCTAAGCGACGGAAAACATCATCAATAACATCAGATACAGATTCTGGGCAAAACTCTCACAGCATGGCTGGTGATGAACAATCTTCTAATATTGGATATGCTTGTTTATATCCGCATTGTAATAAAACTTTTGCTCGGTTATACAACTTAAAGTCGCATCAACGTACACATTCAACTGATCGGCCATATAAATGTGCTTCTTGTGATACGGCATTTGCAAGAAATCACGATTTAAAACGACATCAAAAAATCCATGAGAACGCTAAGCCGTATAAATGTCTTGGATGTGCAAAATTATTTTCGAGGTTTGTTTGACAATTTGAATGATTCGTTTGAATAATTGTTTATATATCTTAGGTTTTTGATATCTCATGTAGATTAGATGCACTCAGAAGACATAAACATAATCCAAAAAGTCGCGATTCATGTCGTGAATCGGAAATAGCAGAAGCATGAAAGTATTGGTAGAAAATATGTAAATATTGCACAGTTAGATGTATAATATATTTATTTCATGATTGCATTATTGAGAAATTATGTTGAAATTTATATTTAACATTCATTGTGTTTGCATATAGTTCTAAATACGGACAATTCTTTTGATTTTTGAACAATTTATTATGATGAATTTATGAATTCATTATTAGCTGTCAAAATATGCTTCCGAATCCCTTATGGTAGAAAAAAAAAAGCCATTTTATGAACCTATTATCTTATTTTGATTTCGAGTATATTAAAAATTAATTTCTTATCATTATTAATCCTCCACAGTTTTAAAACGAAACGCAGTTTTAAAACGGACGAGACCTTCAATGTGGTCTCAACATTAATCTCGTTTTTTTTTCTTTTTTTTTTCTTTTTTTTTTTTTTTTTTTTTTTTTTTTTTTTTTTTTTTTTNTTTTTTTTTTTTTTTTTTTTTTTTTTTTTTTTTTTTTTTTTTTTTTTTTTTTGTTAAATTTGCAATAAATTGTGGTTTGTAATTTTAAGATTGTAAGATGTTATTTATTTGGAAATAAAGGTCAATGATGTAACAGCAATTTGTGTACGTCACGGGTTCATACATATATATATACAATAATTCCCAACGTTTTTTTTATTTAATAATTAAACAATCGCCCCGTAGTATTCTGACTATCCATAAAATAAAATAAGATAAATTCCCCCGTAGTATTTCATATCAATTTAAATATGCAAAATAAATCTTGTCTTATTTGTCATGTTCTTTTTGCCTCAGTTTCGTCTCTTGAAACCCCGTTTTTGACTAAATGTTGTAATCGCTGGGTTTGTGATAGCTGTTTAGAACAGAATCGAAGATATTATACGTATTGTCCATTTTGTCAAGAAATTTCAATTACCTATAGTAATACATCATACACTGATTGTTCTTTACCAACATACGAGGAAGTTATTTACAATGATTTAAATAAACCTAACAACACATTAAATTATTTCAATGAAAAATCGGATAAGAAATTGGACGAGAAAAGTAATTATAGTGCAATTCATTATGTTAAAAAAGATGATACTTTGATTGGGTTGGCTTTTAGTTACGGAGTTGAGGTATTTGACTCAATTTATGAGGCACAGTAAATTTTACTATATGTATTTTTAAACTAACTTTCCTTCCAGATAGCGGATATTCGTAAAGCAAATCGATTATTTGACAATAATATCATAGCTCGTTCGACTCTGATTATCCCTAACTATGTCGGTCCTTCCTTATCAGAGAAGTTTTCGGAGGAAGAAGGTAAATAATTATTCAATTACTTATTTATATTCATCATAATGTTTAATAAAATGTTAATTTTAATTCTTTGTAAGAAAAAAAAATGTTAGTAAAACGTTTTCAGATACGATCTAAATGTATTGATCCAATAGAGGCCAAGTTTTATATGGAGCAATCAAATTACAATATTGAAAATGGTAAGTATTTTATTCTTTTATTTTATTTGAATTGAGACTATGTTAAATTCTAATTTATTTGGTGAAATCAGCCGCACAGCTTTATCGGGATGATATATTATGGGAGATGCAGCATCCAATGAAAGAAAAGGTTAAATCTAAAAACAATAAAAGAAAAGTAGTATAATTATATTTAGATATTAGGAGTACGGTTATAAATAATTAATATACATTTATATTTAACGTCATTATTGTATGAACCGAACTTACTTTAAAGAACACATCATAAAATTTCCATATCACTATTCTGTTGCATTTTCTCAGTGACTTTAGCAATTTGTGCCTTAATCTTGGCAGAAGGAGCTCCAATAAGTTCAATATTCGTTTGAATTTCGCGTATATTTTCTGCCTTTTCACGTTCCTTGTTGCTAGACATTCTATAATTAAAACCATAACAATTAATATTAATTCATAGTATGAAATTTGAGTTAATGATTACCTATTCTTATAAAAGACACGTTCACGTTTAGCTCTAATTTCAGAAATCCGCTTAATAGCTTTAACAGTTGTGGCCATTAGTTCTCGATCATATCGAACTGGTACATTACGGCGTTTTTCAAATTCGAATGTAGAGTCCTGGAATTGTACTTTTTAATTTCATTTTTTTTTAGTTACATAATTAAATATTTAAGGTAACATACAATGGCCATTTCTTTGCCAGCAGCCTTTCTAAATGCTTTAGTCCAACGAACTTTGCGAGGATTACGTTTGTGCTTGAAAGCAGCATGACATTTGCTTCTGCAAAAGCGAAACATCTATAAATAGATCAATATAATTTCTGAATTTAATTAAAAGCATATGTAGAGGTACCTTGCTGTCGTTTCTAACGAACATAGTTCCATGACCAGGATATATTGTAGAAGAACAAAAATAACATTTTTCTAAACGCATTTTTTGATGGTTAGAATAAAATTTTCAGACACTGATTCATTTCATTATTTCAAATTAATTTTCGGTAAACGTGACTTGACAAATTTGATTGGTTGTACAAGCTTTAACTTTAAAATCACGTGGTCATTAAACTCTCACTTGTGAATGTTGGACTACGCGTTTTGGTGTTTACTATTTTTAGATTTGTAGTACAGAGTCACGTTACCAAAAATTTTCTCTTGAGACTTATATATATAATCAACATCTAGATTTCGTTCGCAGTAAAAAATTCTAAAGTCATACCATATAAATCATATAAATACACTTAGCAAATGGTAAATATTTTGTATTACTTTTAAATTATATAATTTCGCTCAAATCATCTTACTTTTTTTTAAAAAGGCTGCAACTATTGTCAATCCTAAAGCATTCCCTTTGGCTGATGCTGAATTAACCAGTCAAATACTTGATCTTGTTCAGCAAGCTTTACATTATAAGCAATTAAAAAAAGGTGCTAACGAAGGTAAATGCTCATTATTTATCAAATAAAAATCTTTTGAGGATAAGTTAATCTTTCGTAAAGGATATTATTTATTCAATTGAAATGCCTTTAGCTACCAAAACGCTTAATCGTGGAATGTCAGAATTTATCGTGATGACTGCAGACACTGAACCAATTGAAATTTTATTACATCTTCCATTGTTATGTGAAGATAAGGTGAAAATAAAAATCATTTAAAGCATAGAAAATTTTATTGATAGAATTATTAATAAGGTAAATTAACTTTTAACAGAATGTTCCATACGTTTTTGTACCTTCAAAGACTGCTTTAGGACGTGCTTGTGGAGTATCTCGTGCGGTTATTGCCGCTTCTATAATAAGCAACGAAGCTTCCGAGCTTAAACCTCAAATTCAACAGATAAAGTCACGAATTGAAAGATTATTGATATAATAATATTAGATTTTCTGATGCGTGAAGCATTTTGTTGAATTTATTACTCAAATTCTCAGCACAAACTATTGATTTGGATGTTGGGTTCAATCTCTTAGTTATGGCAAATAAAAAAAAAATTTAATTTAATAAATGAAGGCCGGTTTTCATTTAAGATAGACATTGACAAAATATGATCAATAAATAATAACAATAATAACAGTATAATTAACTTTGCATAAGATACTTAATATGATCCTATGTAATAATCCTGTTAAATTATGATAAATAGTATAATTTTAAGCGGAACGTAGAGGCGTGGTCTAATCATTTTTTATAATTTATACTGGAAATGTTATAAGTAGAACGTTCTGGCCCGCGTTTTGCGGAGTTATGCAGAGATGCGTAAGAAACAACAACTCAGACACGTGATCGCGTTTAAAATACAAATTTAAAGCATTTGACTTCGTTTAATATATAGGTCTATTTATTTTTATTCTTTTTCATGACTAAGATTTAAGAAAAATATTTATAACTAATGAAAATTTAAAAGTACCCTATATTAAACTTTCGATTTATAAGGTGAATTCTCCATTTTCATATTTAGATCGAGATCAAATGTGAAACTAATCTATTATCTTACTTAATTTTGTTAGTTGAAGGTATATAATCCATATCATCAAAATTTGTATTAATTTTACAATGTTTTTGTAAATTATTTATTAGTTAATATGTAGTCATTGTGATATTAATATGTTTAATTAACAATATTTTTTTGTTATAGGTACATTTGAGTTAATTTCCACCACGAAGAGCCAACACCAAATGAAGAACTTCACCGGCCAATATACCGCTATCCTCGGCTGTCTTTTCATCAGTCCTATTGTAATAATTAAAGTGAACAAAAAATTTCATTCAATCTTCTTTGTACATTATTCTCAATACTTACAATTGTTTACCAGCATAAATAAGACGCTGTTGGGCTGGCGGAATACCTTCTTTTTCTTCTACACGCTCTTTGATTTTTGCTACCTAAAAAAAATTTTTCACTTGAATAAAAAGAACAAAAAATTTGATTTTATGAAACAAACATACCGTATCTGAACCTTCAATGTCGATTTCAATCTAAAAGGTTTCAAAATAGAAGATCAATAAATGATTATTATATTTAAATGTTAAATTTATAAACCTACTTCTTTGCCAGTAAGAGTCTAAAAAAAAAATACGAAGGATTTATGTTAACATAAAATATTTATAGATCTATTACTAACTCACAGCACACAACACGTCAAATATAAAATAAGAAAAACTACCTTGACTTTAATAAGCATTTTGGTCGGTTTTTAGTGTATAAACAAGAAGAAAAAAGTTTTGGTGCGTGGTGACTTAAAAATCTATATTCGGAGGACAGTTCCGTTAGAATGTAAGTATGAATTTATTTTTATTTTTATGACGCAGAAGAACCAAGTTGTAGTACAAATTATAAGGACATCAATGTTCATACCTAATATAGAAAATATCACGTGATATTTCCTTAGAGTTTAAAAAAATATGCTGAAACACATTTATTGGTTAGATAAATTCAATCTATATATAAAAATCTATTCAACTTGTCATATGATTTATGCATTTTTTTTTTGTTTTTTCGCATGATTATGAATTCTAACCTGGTTGTCAAAAAAAATGTATCGAGTGTTCAAAACCATTGTAAAACCTATTAAACCGGTAAAAATTTATCACATTATACAAATTTTACTGTCCTTAGAAATTTTGTTAAGGGTTTCAAAAATTATAGTTTTCGGCTTCTGCATTTTCTCGAGGCTTTCACGTATCGAGACCAGCGTCACAAGTGATTGCTTCACAACCATTAAGAGCAAAAGAGGCACCTGTAAGAATTATTCAAATTTTTTTTTTTTTTTTTATATTATTAATTACAATATTAATTGTATTATAATCAGTCTACAATTTCTAGCAAATATCCGGTTATCGATCATACATATGACGCTATTGTTGTAGGTGCTGGTGGTTCTGGTTTGCGTTCCGCTTTTGGTCTTGCAGAGGCCGGTTTTAATACAGCTTGCATTACAAAAATATTTCCAACAAGGTCACATACTGTCGCGGCACAGGTTGGTGTATTATGATTCAAAATTAAACATTCACCGCCTGTAAGTCAAATTTATATTGAATTTATGATATGAAAAGGGTGGTATTAATGCTGCCCTAGGAAATATGACTGAAGATGATTGGCGTTGGCACATGTATGATACAGTGAAAGGTAGTGATTGGCTTGGTGATCAAGATGCGATACATTATATGTGTCGTGAAGCTCCAAAAACTGTTATTGAATTAGAACATTATGGTGTACCATTTTCTCGAACTGATGAGGGCAAAATTTATCAAAGAGCTTTTGGCGGACAAAGTCTAAAATTTGGTCAAGGTATATTTTATACTTTATTTAAGCTATTATATTTACATCTTTGTTCCTTTATTTATTCCCTTTTTTTTGAAAGGTGGCCAGGCATATCGTTGTGCTGCGGTGGCTGATCGTACTGGTCACGCTCTTTTACATACGCTATATGGACAATCTTTGAAACATAATACCAATTTTTTTATTGAATATTTTGCTATGGATTTAATGATGGAAGATGGTGTATGTCGTGGTGTTATTGCTCTTAATCAAGAAGATGGTACTTTACACCGATTCCGTGCTCACAAAACTGTATTAGCCACCGGTGGATATGGTCGTACTTATTTCTCGTGTACCAGTGCACATACTTGTACCGGAGACGGAAATGCTATGATCACTCGAGCTGGACTCCCTTTGCAAGACTTAGAATTTGTACAATTTCACCCTACTGGCATTTATGGAGCTGGCTGCTTGATCACGGAAGGTACGTAAAATGATTAAGTGATTGCAGTTTTTACTTTTCATTATACATGTTATTTATTATTTTAACTAATTTAAACAATAAATTTGTACATTCCAGGCGCCAGAGGCGAAGGTGGTTATTTACTAAATTCTAAAGGTGAACGTTTTATGGAACGTTATGCACCTACTGCAAAAGATTTAGCTTCTAGAGACGTCGTATCCCGTTCAATGACTATGGAAATCCGCGATGGGCGTGGTGTTGGTCCCGAAGCTGACCATATTTATTTACAGCTTTCGCATTTACCTGCGGAAGTTTTACATGAACGTTTGCCGGGTATTTCCGAAACCGCCGCTATTTTTGCCGGTGTTAATGTGACTAAAGAACCGATTCCAGTATTACCTACCGTACATTATAACATGGGTGGTATACCTACACGATACACTGGTGAAGTTTTGACTATTGATGAGGTATGTTCGATGCTACACCGTTTAAAGTTTCGATCGATTATGTGAATTCTTAAAAAAAAATATTTTTTTTTCAGAAAGGAAATGACAAACTTGTTCCTGGTCTTTATGCAGCTGGCGAGGCTGCTTGTGTATCAGTTCATGGTGCTAATCGTTTAGGTGCCAATTCATTGCTCGATATTGTTGTCTTTGGTCGTGCTTGTGCACATCACATAAAAGATACTTTAGAACCAGGAATGCCTCATAAACCATTATCATCAGATGCGGGAGCTGAATCTATTGCTAATCTAGATAAACTTCGAAATGCATCTGGATCAAAGAGGACTGCAGAAATCCGTTTGAATATGCAAAAAGCTATGCAACGTGATGCGGCAGTTTTCCGAACACAGGAATCTTTGGACGAGGGTATAATTTTTAAATAAGTTATTTATCCATTACGCATTTATAATTATTTAACAATTTTGCCTTATAAAATTTTAAGGTGTCAAAAATATTGACAAAATTTTCAAATCATTTGAAGACGTAAATGTTGAGGACCGATCCATGATTTGGAATTCTGATCTTATTGAAACTTTAGAATTACAAAATCTTTTGACCAATGCTGCTCAGACAATGCACGCAGCAGCAGTTAGAAAAGAATCCCGTGGTGCTCATGCGCGAGAAGATTATCAAGTTAGTAAACCATTGAAGAACAAATATTGTTTTAAAGCACTTCTTTTTGAACTGCTTAATCATATTGTATTTTAATTTATAACTCATTCAGACTCGTAATGATGAAGAGTGGATGAAACATACATTATCGTGGCAAGATCAAAACACAGGAATGGTTAAATTAAGATATCGCCCTGTAACGTCTAAGACTTTAGATGAAACCGAAATCGCTAGTGTAAGTATATTTCATTTTGTACCTTTTTAATGCAACTTAGCTTATGCTATTTATTATTATATAGATTCCTCCGAAGGCTAGAGTATATTAAAAAGTATTTTGATTTAAATTTATTTATTTATGAGTATATGGACTTTTCTTGACGATTTATTATATTAACGTCAATTTCGGCTTAAGACAAAAATTCCAACGCACATAACAATTATTACTTTTTAATAATTGAGAAATAATGAATTGAAAAAAATACATCATAATGATATTAAATAAATATATAAATAAAAAAATTTGTTACTCCCATTCTTATTTATCTGCAGAACTTAAGTTATATACATACTGTACATAACTTATACATATATCTATTTCAAGTTTCAAATTTATAATAATATTACACAAAATAAACCTAATGTAATTAAAAACTTGCAATAATGCGGATTTTGAAGTCTATATATGACCGCAAAAAAAAAATTTTTTTTTATAAATAACAATAATTACGGTTATTGATGATCCGGCTGATTCGATTTTTTAAAGTATCTGTGAAAAATAAAATATGAAGTAAAAATATTTGTAAAAAGCAAAGCAGTATTAGAAAAAAATATATTAAACATTTTAATATTTATCGTTATATTATGTGTCGCAAGTGTCACGTGACTTTACATATGTGAATAATTTGTCACCCCGCGTCACATCCTCTAGTTTTCCATTTTTATTATTTATTCTGGGGACTTGGAAAGGACCCAGAAATATATATATAGGGGTCAGGTGATGAAAAAAATTTTTTACTATGAGCTGTACGCATTTTTTCAGGGCCGGAATTATGATAATGCCAGTCGGTTACTATAATAGGAAATAAAATTCTGACTGGCATTATCAAAAATTATCTAAAAAAGGAAAGATTTTCATGACTTTTTTAGTTCAAAATATGCAAACTCAAACCTGACCCTTTTATATATATTTCTGGATCCTACTTGGAATTTTTTCAGTGCAAAAAATACTATTTGTCACTCCCTATACATTACGTGCTTAATTTCGGCCAAATTTTATAACGCTGGCCAAAATATCCTTTTTTTGGAGCTTTAGGTAACGTTACACAATCCAAAAAAAGCAATTTTATTTTTGGCAAAATTCAAGTTTTTGTTACACAAAACTTCCAAAAACGGAAATTTCTTTGACGATCTTTTAATTCCGGCCGGAATTATAAAATCACGTGATACTGGCGATGCATCGCCATGGCGATAAAAAACAAAACCCTTATATTAAATTAAAAAAGATAAAAAAGATAAAAAAAAAAGGCGATTCAACCAGATAATTCAATGGATATTGGATAATCCATCAAATTATCCAGCTGAATCACCTTTTTTTGGGTTTCTTTATTTGCAAAATTGCATTTTTTTGCCAATTCAAATGCATTTTTGAAAAATATGATAGAAACACATTTTTCTGTCAGTAAAATGTGTTTTTTTTATAATAATGATGATTAATTTTTAAAATCTGGATTTCAGAAATCAATTTACATATATGAATTATCAATATAGTTTTATTTCTCTGATGATAAATAAATCATGCATCCTACACCTAAGGTTGCTTGCCAAAACCTCTCCAAAATCCTGCGATAAATTTCGGCAAGATTTTACTATATGTTTACTATAGTTTTGGCAGGGTTTTGGCAGTTTCGGCAAATGGGGGTTTCGGCATTTCGGCAAAGTTTCGGCAGGATTTTTAATATGATTTAATATAGTTTCGGCATTTTCCGTATAGGTTTCGGCAGTTATTAAGAAGGTTTCGGCAAGCAACCTTACCTACACCACACCACACACACATACAAAAAATTAAAAATCATAAGTCCAGATTGTGGGGCAGAACTTTATATTGTAATCATATATTTAATATAGGAATTATTTATCACTATAAACCTTCCTGCTAATTAGACGATGCAAGCCTACTCTCAAAACAATAAATATACAGCTCAATTCTGCATCATATCATTTTTTTAACAGATCTAAATACTCTTTACTTTTCTTTTTAATCTTCCATTCTAAAGCTTCATGAACTGTTTTTTGATCTGGCTGGTATTTATCATTAATTTCAAGGTTTAAAATTTCATCATCTGATTTTTTAACAATGATCGTGAAACATAAGTTGCTTCCTGCCAACTACCTTAAGCTCCATCCAATATAACATTCTCCATCTTAATATTATCAAATTCAATTGCTATCATTTTGTTGGCACTTGTTTTTACTAAATCAATTGCTTTTCCATTAAAAAAATCTGAGCTCTGAGAATACATCTGAAATTCTGGCTCAATATCTGCATGAAGAGTGAGAATTAAAGTATCTATAAAAGCTTGTTTCAATACCTCTTCATTTGGATGCTTAACACTATTGTCCTTTAATGGCTTTAATAAAGTTTTCTCTATAAATCGACAAAGAGGTTCAATGTTATATTCTGCCTCCAAAATTTGCAGACAATAACGGATGTACAGGTATTAAATCCTCTTCTTTCCAACCATAAATCTTAAATGCCTCTGTAATAAACTCTTTTTTAGCAACACAATTTGGTATTTCAAAATTGTGTTGTAATGATGCAGGTGATGAGTTTGGTTGATATGTGATAGCTCCATTATAGAACATGAATGATAATAATGAAATACGATTAATTGGTAGTTCACGAATATTGGTGAGTTGAAATCGTTGTTCTATGCCATGTTTAGAATTGAGAGGACGTCGATTGAGTGCTTCAGTAAGAATGGATTTTCCAAGAGGATTGTTAACTATTAAGTCCAATATTGTTTGAGCAGGCAATGTTTGTAGGTCAAAAGGGAAATTATTAAGTGTAGTAAAAATTACTGAAGGATCCTGACCAACATCCATTTCTTTCTTTTGGAACATCAATTGTCTGATACTGTATAGGATACGTGCAGGGTTGTAAATTCCTTCAGGTTGATTACAGTGAAAAAAATACCCATCATTTTCCTTCTTTAACAAAAACATTATTTCCTTTTTAATATTATCTGATAAACTATTTCCAAAAATCTTATTTAAGAGAAACTCAATTTCTGATTTCTTAAATCTATACAAGTCCCAAAATCCTTTTTTTAGTGTCAAATTTTCTGAAATGTTAAAACCTGAGGTGAATTCAGCCATAACGAAAGGAGTCACACCAGTTAGAAAAATACGAGCTATGGATTCATCACAAGCAGTCTTTAACATACTGAAAAATCGTTTAAACGAATTTTCCATTAATTTAATTTTGGCTTCTGCTTTAATTTTGTTATGAATAGAAAGATCTCGGAGTAGTGGCTGGTTTTTAAGGACAGCATTCATACTATCATCATATTTATCAATGAAAATATAGAGCTAAAAATACATAAGAATATTAGCTTAGTATTTTCTGAATAGAGATTGTGACTAAATGAAGAACAAATACTTTTTTATCATTCAGTACTATCACGTTCAATAAATCCCTGAAATTTGCTAAAGCATCCTTTTCATGAATTTGAAAATGATATTTTCCTAACTCTTGTTTATATCAGAACATAAAGTAGTTCATATTTGAATTTAAAATTCTGTAAAAATTCATTTCAAATGCTTTGTACGTTTTGTCAGTATAAAGTCCAGAAAAATTAAGTTTGAGAATGAGGAACTTAGATGCTAATGGTATAGGATTTTTTCTGATAAATAGATCTTGGAATAATTTCTCAAATCGGTCACTGTTCTTTATATCATAGTAAGAGGACAAAGTAGTGAGAAATAGTGTCTTTCCGAAATGACGAGGATGTAAGGAAAGGATGGCACAAGCACAAAGAGCCTCTATTTTAGGAATGAAATGAGTCTTATCTAAATAATAACTATCTTCCACCCTTAAATCTTCAAATAACCCTGATAGATATATTGGTAAAGATTCTGAAGATGGTAATGACTCTGTTGAAATTATTGGTAAAGGTTTTGAAAATGATACATTTGATTGAAACTGAAAAAAGTGGCAAGAGAGTAGAAAGCGAAAAGCATAAGAATTTCGCATCCTTGCAAGATTTTGATATAGCCACAAGTTTAAATAAAATATATATATATATCAATCTTTACCATATAAAGAACAAGTAACATTTAAGTGATTTACCCACATGTCTGAAATATGTGCCAGGGTGTTTGCTTAGTATTCAATGATCCTAATGTAAAATTTGTAAATATCATTTAAATAAGTTTATAATTTTCAAGAATTTCACATTTCAATTCTACATACTTTCTTCTATTTGCTTCAATTATGCTCAACTGTTCTTCAAGTATTTTTTCAAGAATGGATTGAGTATTATTTGCATTAGATTTAATATCTAAATCAAAGAAAATTGGTTAGATTTTTGGTGGCTCTTAGAAATTTTTCCAAAAATAGTATTCCAATATCTTATAATTAGAAATTAAAGATTTCACAATGTAACTGATTGATTGTTATTTATGTTTAGTTGGTAAATCACTAAACTCATCAAATTTCTTTCATTTAATACTAGTTTCAATAGCTTCAGTTGCAAAAAAAGATTTATTGGATAAATAATCATAAATATTATAAAGGATTATAAATGATTAAATTTACTTACTTGTCTTTTCAGTATATTAAGATGATATTGCTTTTGTATTTGATTCAGACGTTGATGGCATTGAGTCATTTTGAATTGATACATTTAGTGAAACTGGTAACTGTTTTAAATTTACAGATCTCCGTTGACGCCTATGAGATAATATTTGATACGGAATACCTTGTTAATCTTCACATTAAGTTAAATCAATATGATCAACTTTATCCAGATATTTATCATCAGCTTGGTTCTTATTTTTATAGCTCTTTTGATTATTTCTATCAAAAATATTAATTTATCGTAATGTAAAAATTATTCAAAGAATATATACTTTTTTTTATTATTTGCAATTAAAGGTAAAGTTTTTTTGACCACTAAATTATCAATCTCATATGCATTGAATATTAGGAACTAGCAAATTTTGAGGAATATTATATTTATCAATATCTATATGTTCAAATTTTTCGTTTAATGTAAATTTTTCTCGTAATGTAGTTTGCCTTTTGGTTTTAGATAAAAGTTGTTTTTTGCTTCTTTCTTTTAATCTAACCTATAAATTTGACGTATAAATAAAATTTATACACATATCTAATATCAACAAATATAAAAATAATTGAAATATTACATATTTTTCTTTCTTCCATGCTTTGAAATCATTATTATTTATTCGTTATAACTAAAAAAAAATTAAAAAAGGGAAAAAAGGTAATGGAATCATTGTAAGTAAAAAAAATAAATGATAATTATAACTAAAAAATTAAGAAAAATAAAAATTAATTGATAATAATAATGATACGTGCATCGGAATAGCATTAACTGTTAAATTTTTATAGGTTAAGAAAAAAATAGTTACGTTCTGGAGCATTAGAAAATTTTATTTCCAAACTTTATTTCGCAGAAATTTGAAATTTGTGCAGTAATAATTGCCTTTAGAAAAAATCACATGGCTTCAATATTTTGAAGAAGTTTTTGCCAAGATCAAAAATATGAGAGTCAATACATGTTAACACATACAGTATAGTGTGGGTGAATGTATTTTATTGCTTTGCTATATATAACATAAAGCTAAATAATCTATTTTTATAAAATATTAGGATTAGGATTAAGCTAAATTTATTGCAAAAAAAAATGTTCTACTATGAATTAATATGTCTAATAAAATTCTAATAAAAAAATTTAATTAATAACGTTATAAAAAAAAATATTTTATATTAAGTATTAGCATTAGCAAACTAAAGTTCTTTGGTGAAACTTAAACGTTAAATTCATCAACTATTGCTTCATGAATCTCATAAAGATCCAAATTAAATCCTTGATTCATTTCTTGAGTAAAAGGTCGAATGGTAATATCTCCATCAAAGAGTTCATTTGCTGGGATATTCATGATATATATCCCAATACCAGCCATGTTACAAGCAGGGTAGCTGTTTTCAGTAACTGGGTCTCTTCTGCCAAATCCAATAAAGTGATTCTGAGGTACTCGCATGATATTGGTAATATAATCTTTAGTTGCCTTATGTGGAGCTGCTGTACCAAATGAGATAACTTGTTCTGGAATCAGTGGAGTCAGGTTTGTACGAACGTATTTTGCCGCAATTAATGTAATAGTATTGTTTCTTCTAGGCTTAAAAATCTTGATAAACAATACGATTTGGATGGTGGTTCGTTGAGAAAAATATAGTTCCACTTTTCTATGAAGATCGGGAAGACTCTGGCAGTAACCAACTTCAATTATCATCGTAGAGTATGCTGCTCCTAGGTTATTTGCTGCTGGCATACCAGGTCTTGGCCTAATACGATTTTTTGGACGAACCCACGAATTTGGCTCTTTCGAACTATTTGTACCTAGAATCAGAGTTGCATTATCTCCGTACTTCAAATCCCAACGATTCCATGCACCCATTGCAACTTTTATGGTTGCTGATGCAGTTGCATGAGGAAGAGTAGGTAATTCATACGCTTTGATTGTTCCATTGTCTAAGTATATGAGTACTGGAAGATTCGGGTCATGTTCATGATATTTTAAATAGGCATCAAGTGATACATTTTTACTTAAAATGAGTTCCCTTGATCCTCTATATTCGTCTGGTTCTTCTTGAGGTAATGCAAGCAAGCGATTTTTGACTAAAACAAGTTCTTTTGCAAGCAAGCGAACTTTGAATAAATTAAGTTCTTTGGTTTCTTGTGTACTTGTAGTCGGAAGAGCAGCCCGAGCTTGAGAACAAGTGAAGTAACAAGGACTATAATGAACTGAATATGAAAAATGTACGTTGATATTTAATAAACTGTACCAAATAGAGAACTATAAACTTTTCAGTGAGTCTTACCCTCTGCATTGCTGGAAGTCGAGGTCATAGCATAAACAATCTTTTATAAAATAGAGAGAGGGAGAGAGGGAGATTTCGTGAGAAGATTTATTTTAAAGAATAAATGTATTTGTAACAGCCCGTTAGATATCTTATTTGTAACATCCTTCTTTTATCTTTTTTTAATAATAAATTTAGTATGTGTTTTACAAATAAAATTTTTATATGCAAAATTTAATTTGGAAAACTTTTACTTAATGTACTTAAGACAGTTTCATAGACAAAATTTTAAGTTATAAGCAGTTTCTAAAAAATTATTTTGTCTTAGTAACAATTAGATTTATCCTATTTTAAAATTATATTTATCTTAAAACGTGGATATTACGTAATATAATTTTCCCTTATGTTTACATAATATCACTGTAGTGAGTCACGTGACAATATATTAATTGCGCAATATTCAAATGTAATAGCTAGGCTGCTAGGGGATAGTATGATTTCTATAGTAAAATTAGGGATGGCAAAAAACATGTTTTAAAACAATTTTGGCAGTTTAAAACATATTTTAAATGTGTTTTAAAACATTAAACACTTTACTAGCCTTTACGACGTAATACATATTTGCAATAAAAATTTAATCACTTTATTATATAATATATATTTAGAGTATACATATGCGCGGATTGGACTTTTTTCTATAATATTGTCATATGTGATATGTGAGAAATACTTATTTATTTGTATGTGATTATCACATTATCCTTGTGACAACACGTGTTGTAATACATGAAATAGTATGAAAACATGTTATGATAAATATAACACAGCCCAACTAACAATTTTCTTTCTTCCTATTTTGACAACTCTTTTTCCAAAGTTAATCATACTCCAATCATATTCATAGTCTCATCTTTGAGTGAACTCAAAAAAGAAAAGTAAACGTATTCTAAAAAAGGAAAAACAAGTAAATTTAAAATTTCATGAATTTCTATTTATGTTAATTGCATTTTCACCTTAATGAAGCCAATATTAATAACAATATATTATATTTTAGAATACATTTAATAAGCACAAAATATTACAAAATAATAGAATTTAACCTGCTTTTTTATAATAATCCCTATATTATGATGATATTGATAAACCCAGATTTTATAATTTTCCTGATACAAGAAACTACAAACGAAGATTTAATTTTAGTAAATGATAGTAGTACAAATCATACATTTTTTCATAATTACCCTTCCAATCCACATATTCATGCTGTTCGGGTGTTTAGTGGCAAAAATTATTCACAATCATATAAAATTATATCTCTTGGAAGATATCCTACAAAAGTGAAATATACTAAAAAAGAAAAAGTGGTAGCTCATAAGATTCCAGATAATTATCAAATAGAAACAATGTTAAATAGATTAACAGTTTTATGTAAAACACAGTATCAATTTTCACGTAAAGTTACTGTTAAATATACCATTGAACGGGTGGATGAAAATGGTCAAAAAGAATCAAGATACAGTTTATCATCAGCTGGGTCTGCAAGTTCCTTATTTCTAAATGTAAATTTGACAATTTTTACAATTGAATTATATTTTTCTTTTTTTTTTTAATAAGAGCGCAAAATATGAATTATGTTTTTTCAAGTAGTAACGCTATTTTATATTTATAGAAAATATGCAATAAGCCTACTTCACATGTTTCTGGTACAATACTTTTCAGGTTTGACATAAGTTTTCTGCAATAACTTTGTGAAATGATTGCCCAACAATCACCTATTACACCAGTTAATCGCAAATGATTCTTTAATGAACTTACATTAAGATCACAAAAAAATAAGCGAATTTCAATAGTTGGAAAAGATATTGCAACACAAACTATGAAAATTCTTAAAGAAAATAGATTTATATTTACATCTGAAGAAATTATTGCAACTGTTGAATCAATAATACTTAGGATTAACAGTGAAATTGTTGAATTACATTTTGATTTTAATAATACAGCTGATGATGACATTAAACATTTAGATTCAATTGTTCGTGCATGTGATGAAACATTAATTTCACGTGATGGGTATCGCAGATTAGCACAAGCTATTCCTAATTTAACAAGAGAACATGTAATTGAAAAACGCCAAAATGAAATTACAAAATCAATAAAAATACTTGTCCCCATTAAATCATTTAATATTTGTAGTGCTGCTATTAATAATTATGGAGATGAGAGTCAGCAAAATATTAGTGAAGTAGAATTTGATGATGAAGAAGTGGGAAATGGTGCTTACCATTCTACTACATCTCTATTAGATATTATAGTTCCAATCTTGGCTACTTCAACATCTCCTGTATTAAAAATTGGTAATAAAATTAATATAAGAATAAGTGAAAATGGAAGAAATGTGAGGTGCAAGCAAAAACATGTTATGCTTACTATGTGCATTCTTAATGAAGGTGAAATGGTTTTGAATCCTACACATCAATACAAGTAATATTAGCATATTTTTTAATTTATGATTTATGATTTATAAATTAATTATTAATTTAAGTTTTTTTATTACAGCATTTGCTTATATATACTTTACTAAAAATGGCCAATTTTTTGAAATGATTTTGTAATAATTTTAAAATACTACTAAAATACATTTAATATATTAAAATGTTTTTATTATACTTTAGTTATTATTTTATAATTGTATTGTATCTAGATCTATAAAAGTATCTTAAAATAATGTCACAATAATTTTTTAATGTTTTTATTATTATTTTATTATTATAATATAATTAACTTTGATATTATTTTAATATTTTAATTTTAAAAATACCTTAAATATATTTTGATATATTTTAAAAATTTTACAAAATAATTGCACAATTATTTTGAAAGCTATTGTATCTAGGTCTATAAAAATATTTCAAAAAATTGGCAATTTTTAGTAAAGTAGGAAAAGAATCTTATGATTCCTTGTCTACAGTATTAGCTATATTTTCACAAGAACTTAAACAATTAAAAACAAATGGATATAAGGCTTCAAATAGTTGAATTTTTTTTTTCAGGTGATTGGAAATTTGTAGCCTTAGCCTTAGGAATTAATGCACCAACATCCAATTATTTCTGTTTATATTGTAATTGCCATAAAGATCAACAATATAACATGGATTTAGTATGGGTAAATTTAAGAAATACACGTGGTATATAAAATGTATTTTTGTTATTTTTTAATAAATAGTTATATGATTTTTTTTTCATTGTATACTTAATTATTTTAACAATAATTGAAAATTATTATAGGATGCAAAAACACAATGCTTTTTCAAGCAATTGATCAAAATAATTGGATCTCTGATGAGTTACATCTCATGTTATGAATTTCTGATGTACTCTTTCAATGTTTATTTTACGAACTTATGAAGCATAAAGATTTTGCAAATAATGTGCAGCCAATAATAATTACAGAGATGAAAAGACTTCACATTCATTTTGAATTCTATTTGCCTACTACAAAAAATGGAAAATGAGAGTGGACATCTCTTATGGGTCCTGACAAGAAAAAAATACTGAAAGAATTTCAAGTGGCATATCTTTTTGGATGATAATCTACAAGAGAACAAGAAATTGAACAGCTTTGGCGTGAATTTTATCAGCTTTACAAAATAATTCGCCAAAAATCAATAACAGATTTGGAAATTGACCAGTTTGAAGCTGATGCAAAACAGTGGATTCATAATTTTTGTCGTCCTACTATTAGTACTATAAATAGTGCTAATCAGTAATAGGAGATGTATTTGCACACAGATGTCTTCCCATATATGTAGTGATGGTTAGGTCATTCCTAGTCCGGTCCTGGTCCTGGGACCTATAAGTCCTATTGAACGGACCTGCGGACCAGGTCCTGTTAGGACCAGTCCTGGACCTGGTCCCAGGACCTAGTCCTGACTAAGTTATTTATAGATTTTATGAATTTTAGTAATAATTAAATATAAAAAAAGTGAGTTGCGATATCGGGATTCACTTTTTTATATTGATTTTATATAAAAAAAGTGAGTTGCTGTATCGGGATTCACTTTTTTATATTGATTTTATATAAAAAAAGTGAGTTGCGGTATCGTTATTCACTTTTTTATATTGATTTTATTTTAAAAATGTGAATCGCAATATCGCAACTCATTTTTTATATGATTTTAATAATATAAAAATTGTATTGCAATATTGCAGTGCACTTTTTTATAATTTATAATTACTTAAAATCAAATTTACAGCAAATTATACATATATAATTTAAACATATAGATCTCTTATAACCTTATTGGCTAGGACTTTTTAGGACCTGGTCCGCTTTTGGTCCAAAATTTGGACCTAAAAATCTGCAAACCAGGTTCTAGGACCAGGTCTTTAGGTCCAGGACCTAGGACTTTACCATCCCTAATTATTCTATTATGATAATTTTTACATTTGACTATTTATTATACTATACTTTTCATTGCATTATCAAACTTTTCACCAATTTCTCTGGATATTCTAAGTTAAAATTCATATAATTAGTTAGGCTTTATATGCTTAAAAAAAATGTAACCAAATATATATTGAACCATTAGGATATAAAAGTAAAATTAAGTTTTCAATATTACCTTCTACAAAGTCTCTTACATCAACATTAAATTCAAAACGCATTGAACCACAATGCAATTGTGTGTCAGAATCTTTATATATACGTTCCTTCCAAATAAAGGTAATATTATAAGTTTGTTGCGCATTTTGCATTAATACATATGTGCATGTTCCTGTACGTCTCCTTTTACTATCCCAGTCTTTATTACCAAAAAGAATTCCCAGTTATTCATAACTTTGAGTACTCTCAAATTTGCAAATATATTTTCTTTGAGCTGGAGAATATTGAAAAGTTGATTCATTATAAAACAAAATAATAAAAAATCCTTCAGAAAAGGGTTCTATTTTTAGAGTTTTAGCTCTAAGTTCACTTCTATGGAATTGCAAACGTACTTTTAACTGCATAATAAAAGAGTTTTTAAATTGGCAAATATCATATAAAGATGGAGAAGTTAGGCGACATGAGTGAGGTATTATTTTATTATTTGGGTGGATATTGTTTCATGGAAAGAAAGTGAACTTTTTGATGAAAAAGTTCTTGGAGGATTAGTAGAACAAAGGCAACATATATATTTCATTATATGAAAATGCGTATTAAATAAAAAACTTCATAGCGTCACGTTTCAGTTTACATTTTTTGGACAAATTTTCAAATTTTTTATTTTAATAGTATTTTTAATCTTATTTTTAATTTAAGTAATAAAACAGCTTTTTAGTAACCAATCAAATGCATATGTTATGTGATATGACAACAATAAAGTGATGTCTCACAGAATGATTTTTTGTTGAGCCAAATCCGCCCATATGAGCCAGACAGGAATATAGCTTAGTAATACTAATAGTTTATTAAATAAAATGTGTACTAACTAGGGCTTCGATCAGTTTCAGTAATTACTGAACTGAACTGATCGGTTTCGGTATTGGAACGGTTTCGGTATTCTGATTTACCGAACTGAACCTTTCAGTAAATTTACCGATAAGTTTCAGTAATTTCAGTTTCAGTATCGGTTTTGCGATTTACTGAACTGAATTACCGAACTGATACTTTCGGTATCAGTTTTGATAAATTTTACCAATCATTTCGGTAGATTTTACCGGTCAATTTTAGTAAATTTTACTGATCATTTTGGTAAATTTACCGAACCGATTTGCCAAACTTTTCACTTTTTTTTTTGATAAGTTTCGCAAAGTTTTTTTTTTAATAATTTACTAAAAACGTTGCAAAATGTTCAATTTATATACTTCTCCGCGTTATTTTTACTAACATAATGTATTTTAATAAATAGTTTATTTAATATTTAACAAGTAATTTGTTTAACAATAATTATGACGGTTTTAATCACAGGTCGAAATACTAAAAATTGGCAAAAAAAATGGCGTGAAAAGCAGTGGCTATTCTTGGCTATTCTTGGCTGTTTTTAGCTATTTGCGAATTAACCTATACTATTTGTAAATAATTTATATAAATTTGCGAATAGTTTATGCAATTCTAGCCATTTTTTTTGCCTGTTTTTGGTCATTTGACGTGTGAATATATTAAAGCCATTTTTTATTAGTATTAAATTAAAATTGGATTAGACCTACAAAAAAAAGTAAAAGAACGTTAATAAACGTTTTTATATAAAGAAAAATTAAAAATCCGCTTTCTCCCTTTGAAAATACTCACCACCAGTCTCTATTTCTGAATTCTGGGCTAAAATCTACAAAAAAAATTAGTAAAAAAATGTTAATAAACGTTCTTACATGAAGAAATATAAAAAACCCTACTTCCCCTTTTAGAAATACTCACCGGTCTCCATTTCCAAGTTCCAGGCTAAAATCTACAAAAAAAGAAGTAAAGGAACGTTAATAAACGTTCTTACATAAAGAAAAACAAAAAAACCCTCCTACTTTCCCAAATACTCACCAGTCTCCATTTTTGAGTTACAGGCTAAAATCTACAAAAAAAAGGAAGTAAAAGAACGTTAATAAACGTTCTTGCATAAATAAAATAAAAAAAAACCTACCACTTCCTTTTTTAAATTACTCACCGGTTCCCATTTCTGAGTTCTAGGCCGAAATCTACAAAAAAATAGAAATAAAAGAACATTAATAAACGTTCTTACATAAAGAAAACAAAAAAACTCTCTACTTCCCAAATACTCACCAGTCTTCATTTCTGAGTTGCAGGCTAAAATCTACAAAAAAAAAGAAGTAAAGAATGTTAATAAACGTTCTTACATAAAAAAAACAAAAAAAACCTCCTCTTGCTTTCCCCTTTAAAAACACTTACTGATCCTCATTTTCAAGTTCTCAGGCTGAAATCTGTAAAAAGGAAAAAAGTAAAAGAATGTTAATAAACGTTTTTACATAAGAAACCCCCAAAAAACTCGCTTTCACCTTTTAAAAATACTCACTGTTTCCATTTCCAAGTTCCGGCCAAAATCTATAAAAAAAAAAGTAATAAAAGAACGTTAATAAACGTTCTTACATAAAAAAACAAAAAAAATTTTTAGAGACACTTACCCGTCTCTATTTTCAAGAATCAAAAAAAAAAGAATATTTTTTTTTTAAAAAAAATTTGTTCACTACCGTAATTAGGTATAGATTAGCCAATCAAGTGATAATGGCCTTAATGGGTGGGAATCTATCTATTTAGATCATGATATTAATACTAACGTTACCTCAAATAAGCCACAAAAAATGAAAAAAATTTTATTGAAATAAAATAAGGTGCACGGCAAATTTCATAATACTCAAACGTATAATAAAGATTTGGGTAAGTTCTATTTTTGCTTCTAATTTTTTAAGTTTGAAGTGGAACTGACTTTGAGAACGCTACTAACGTTCTTTTTCTAACTTTTTTATAGAAACATTATGAACGCTATTTAGAATTGTTTTTTAAGACTGAACTTACAGGTAATGCCATAATGGGAAGGAAATGAGTAGATTTATTTAATAAGAAGCATTTCTAACGTTTCTGTTTAATTCTACTTTATAGGAATTGTTGGCCAAGACGAATTAGACTTACATGGTGCTAACTTGACTCCTGCATGCATGTTGTATTAAAGAAAAGGGAAAAGAAAGGGGTTTTTTTATATTTATTTAATGAGAAACGTTTCCAACGTAAGTAATGAGAAAGTTGACAAGTAGGAGTTTCGGGGGTTTCTCTTTTATTCTTTTTTTGTTTTTTTTTGTATTGGTAGGAATAGGACTTCTTATTTTTAATTTAATTTAACAATTTGCTTTATTACCTTGTATTTCATATACTGTACGTATATATACATCAGGAAATTATATAGTGCGAAAAGTTGCGCAAGTTTACACATCATAATATTTCGTAAGCTTCCAGACCTGCCGCAAGTTTGCGTAAGCGTAATATTTTGTAACTTTTTAAAATATTTCGAAATATTACTGTATGCAAGGCTTCGTAATTTTACGATTCGTAATATTCCGTAATTTTACTGCGTAATACTTCGCAACTTTTTAAAATATTTCGAAATTCTATGATGCGTAATGTTCCATAATTTGACGATTCGTAATATTCTGTGATTTTACACAACTTAATATTTCGTAATATTTCAAAATATTTCGATAAATAATACTTCATTTTCTGTACTATAAGTTTATATAATGTATGTTTTATTAGATATAATCATAAAAAATTACAAGTATTTATTAATATATACAGAATACATAAAAGTAAAAAAAAGAAAGAGTAGAGTAACAATATTATTAGACGTAAAAAGAAGAGAAACAGCTATAGTAACGTTAGTATTAGATATAAAGATAAAAGAAATATTGTTATTATTGTTAGTATTAAGGTAAAAAGAGTTAAAGAAACAGTAAAAGGAGTAAAAGAAACATGGATATTATCGTTAGTATTAAAGTACAAGTAAAAAGAAATAAAGGAAACGTAGATAGTATTGTTAGTATTACGACATAAAGTAACAAAGAGGTAAAAAAAAAACGCGTTAATATTAAAATAATTAGTATTAATAAATAAATATTTCTATACCTGCAAAGTAATTGAACAAAAGAATAAAGAAATAAAGAGAAAGGAAAAAATAAACATGTTGTTAGTATTGTTAGTATCGTTAGTATTAAAGTACAAGTAAAAAGGAATAAAGGAAACATGGATATTATTGTTAGTATTACGATACAAAATAACAAAGAGGTAAAAAAAAATGAAAATAATTAGTATTAATAAACAAATATTTCTATACCTGCAAAGCAATAAATTATGAAATATATGTAAATATATTGTATATAATTAAAGAAATAATAGAAAGAAGAGACAAAAAAATTAAAAATATTGAACAAAAGAATAAAGAAATAAGAAACAAAAATAAATAAGACAAAAACGCGTGCATGATTAAATGATTAAATGATTAAATCACATGCAAGGATCAGCCTAATTTGATTGGCCAGAAAATACGATATCGTAAAATTACGGAAATCCGCATTTTAAAAAATCACAGAAATTGTATATGCACAATTACTAAATATTATCCCCTCGTGATAAATTAAAAATTATCAACACAAATTCAACACAAATTTAACAAATTTAACGAAATTTGGCCAAAATTAACAAATTTTTACCAGAATTATCAACACAAATTGAACACAAATTGAACACAAATTTCAGCCACGATTTATTTATGTCACACCCGTGTTGTTAAGAATTAATAACCATTTTATTTATCTAAACTATATTAATTATGGTAAAAAAAATGCTATTACGTGTGATATATATAAAAAATAATATTTATTTTTTATGCAACCCATAATTCTCTAATAAACTATTTACATACCGACCTTCCTCCTCCGTGTTATAAGAGTCAATAGAAAGTATATCATCGTCAGCTATGCCATCATTGGCCGCACCATCATTGGCCGCACCATCATTGGCCGCACCATCGTTGGCCGCATCATCGTTAGCCGCACCATCGTTAGGCCTACCATCGTTAGTCACACCATCATCAGCCGCACCTGCTCTATCGTCAGCTGCTCTATCACCACCATCGTCAGCATCATTACCATCATGAGAATCATCGTCCGAATGTGTAAATTTATCCCTATTTTCCAACTTTTGCTAAAAATCAATAAATAAATAAATAAACTGTAATTCAAATAATTCACATTTTGCAAATTGTAAATTAAAAACTTACTAAGTTGTTGATTATCTTCGACTTCATTATACTTTCGCTCATTTGAATGTTTTGATTATTAGGATTTAAGTACGTTTCACATATGCTAATCGCATACGCTATTTGTGTTTTTGAGGGATTTTTATTTTCTTTTCGCAACTTATCAATTATCAGCGACATATATGTCGTAGGTTGCCCATCTTTAACCTTTTTAAATAGGTTGTTGTAACATCTTTTCACCTCCGCCTTACTCTTCCATTCCTGAATCTTTGACGGACTAGCCTGAGTGTTAATAGACGGTAATTTATGCCCAGTCGCTTCGAAAACAGAATACATAACGTCTTTAACTCTAGACGTGAACGTCCCTCGTATGCTTCTATGTTGTTGTACTAACTATTAAAAAAAAATGTTAGTATGAAATTTAATAAAATTCATAATTGCTTTAACTTACAGTCGGGGCAATTTTTTTTTCGAAAAAAATAATCCATTGATTTTTTTTGAACTGGCGCATAAATTCCGGATTTTCGTCTTTTAAATATTTTTCGGTAGCGAGTTTGTACTCGTCTTGCGAAGGATAAACAAAATTTTCAAATAAAATTTTCGACACCTTCTTAACGAGCTCCTAATCAAACAAGATTAGCATTTCAGGTTTACATTAAATAATATTCATCTTTATTACCTTTACATACTCCGGATCTATTGTATTATTATTATTTTTGTTATTATCTTTGAGCTTTTTTTCTATGCTCGAGAGATGGGTTTCGAGATTTTTTTGTCCGGTGATAAGAACTTCAAGCTTAGAAATTATCTGCGAATTGGTTCTTAATAGTTTTTCTATTGTTTTTTTATTAACTTTAACAATAAAATATAATTTAACTATATATTATATAATTTCTTTTATAAA